ATCTGGGGGGGGGGGGAGGTGGGGATGAGTCTGCCTACCAAGATGGTGTGGACTGGTTGCTTTTGTGGTGTGGAGACAATAACTTGGTCCTCAACACCAATAAGGCCAAGGAGCTTATAGTGGACTATATAGAAGGAGCAGATCAGACATCCAGCCTTTGCTTCTCAAGGGAGACCGAGTGGAGCAAGTGGCCAATTTTCTGGGTGTTTACCCTAAAAGAGGACCTGACCTGGAGGCGCTCACATTGCAGCCCTGGTCAAAAGGGCCCAGCAGAGATTCTACTACCTGAGACTTCTCAGGAAACAACTGAATGAAAAACTGCTGGAGGACCTTCTACCGCTGCACCACAGAGAGTATCTTAACTTACTGCACCTGTGTCTGGTTGGCCAACTGCAGTGTCAGATAGCACAGCACTCCAGAGGACTAATGTCATTGCCCAGAGGATCACTGATTGCCCTCTCCCCTCTTTGGAAGAGCTTTATAGCTCCCGCTGCCTTAAAGAAAGTTCATGGCTTAGCACAATGTGCAAACCAAGTCAATATGTTTACTTCCTATCAGGCAGTAGCTTTTATCAGGCAGTAGCTTTTACCCTGGAATCCAGGTATTTGCAACTTTCTTTTATCACAGTACTATCTCGATACCTGTCCTTTCCTACAAAACTATGTGATTGGGCTTAGTTTTGGGGGAGGAAAAATAAAGTGAAAAAATTCTGCTTCTGCCTACCAGCATCCATCGATATTCATCTGGCTAGTGTCCTGTCAGTGTGTGTGAGTTGAGGGCTGCTTGGAAACTAAGACAGTATTTGCCGTGTGAGCAAGGAGGAGACAGCCAGGGGCCTGGGCATGGCTTAGCTCAACTATTCTGTACTAAAGCTGCTTGGTGCTCTGAAACTGAAACTGAAACTCCTCTCCTCTGCTTGTGTTTTGCCTTTGGAACAGGTTTCTTTTCAAGTGGGGAGGGGAAGTAGAACTCCTTAGCATCAGAGCGTGTTAATAATAATAATAATAATAATAATAATAATAATAATAATAATAATA